AATTAATAAGTTGATCCATAGTTACTATTAGTCAGTACTACCATTGGCTTCCAATTATATTTTTCCGTAAAGATATTGTTGCCTCTATGAATAACGTCTCTTAAAATTGATGCATATTTACCGAATGGTAAATACCGAGGCATGTATCACCGAATTGTAGTCTGTAGAATTTAAATTTGACAGAGTTCTTCCGTAATTTGCTGCAGTTATCGTACAATTTTTTTTGTACCAGAATAAGAGACGAACAGAAATATGGAATCATCGTGGAGAGCGAAATGAAAAGAATATCCATATGTCCCCAAATAGCAAAATGTCTGCAATCTTCTAGTAGACTGTCAGCAGATTCGAGCAGAAAATAACGGCAATCTGCCATCAATTGCGTCCGCATTAGGCTTCTGTTCTGTTCATCGCCTGTCGACATAATATGAAGGCAAATTGTTGGCAGAAATTGAACAAATCTGACACGACGAGACAGGAGATTGTCGACAGAAATTGATAATTGTTAATTGATTGTCGACAGATTGTCTCAGAATCTGCTGGGTTTCTATCAACAATCTGCTGTCAAATCGTTTCAAAGCAGGATGTGCATCATTTCTGCTGACAGTCTAGTGCTAGGTGTCGACAGGATCTACTTGGTTTCTGTAGACAATATACTATATATATTAGATTATACCACAAATCTGCTCTGTTTCCTTCTCTAATCTATCATTTATTTTTGCTTCGTTACGTTTTTTCTAGCAGTCTGTCAACATTATGTACATCTAATTCTGTAACAATTCTGTTGTTATATTGTTGGCATACTGTGTAAATTTAAAAAAATGCTTTCTACAGACTTAACTATGTGAGTCAGTTTGATCTTTCTTAGGTATGGTATATACCATTGTGGTATAGGCAGATATCTCGATTTACTGCATTTCACTTGTTATTATATTATCTTCTGAATTAACTAGGTGATATATCAACGAGATGGCGTCCATACAATATTCTTCCATGCATTGAATAAAGCAAAGATTCAGACTTATACATGATAATATATTGCCCGTTACCATATTGCATTTATCAGAGAAAATTGTATCAATGTTTTAAACCTTCCGCCGAGTTTTGATCTCAATCCGATCGAACATATCTGATCGAATATACTTGAGCATCGATTGACAGTATTCACAATTAAGAACTTTAGAGCAATTAAGGGAAGCTTTTCCTTGAGAATTTGGTATTAAACTTTACCGACAGCAATCCAACGATGCATACACATGCAGTAACTTTTAAAAAACATTATTCATAAAAGAAGTAGCAATACCTAAAACTAAAAATTTAATTTCCTTATTATGTACTCACGCGGGCATGTAACACACACACACACACACACACACACACACACACAAGAAACGTAAATCCGACTGTGCAATCTCCACAGTCCCATAGTATACTTCGGATACTAACGCGATGATCGTCTGTTGCGATATAAGAATAGAATCAGTAATGCAAATGTCATTTGCCTAACTTCAAATATGAAAAACATTAATTAAAAACATCGCTTCCTTTGGTCTTATTGAAATTAATAGATTCTAAAGTTTAAAATTACGTTAACATAATAGGATTCCTCTATCTTTTTAAGTGGGATAAATAGGGATGAATAGAAACAAATAATTACTTCAATTTTCAACTTCACCTTTTACTTAAGTATATAAAAAATTTATTTATATTTAAAAAAATGACAAGAGTATCTTAAAGAGAAAATATTGAATCTTTTTATTCGGTTTTTTACGAATACCATGCGTTATCCCGTTCGTCTTTCATAAGTAATCGAAGTCAAAATAACGTTTTTTGCTTCATTTGTTCATCATTTCGTCATTTTTAAATAACAATAAAAGAAATGTTTAATGCTCAACATAAAAATAAATTAAAGGTAAAGGTAATTAAAGATTCACGCTATAGAAAACTGTAAACTGTATTTGTGCTTGACTTTTCATTTAAATAAAACTTTGCAAAGTTCATAAAAAATTTCTAGATTTTACGAATTTGTTTGTGTGTACCTCCATAAAAATCAGACATGTCATTATTTTATAAGACATAAGTGACAACATGAGAAAAATCAGGACGCTCTGAGATTTGAGCAGTAGTTTCCTTCATATTGATAGATTTCTGTTCTGCCACCAAATCATATAACTTTCTTGCAATTTAGTAAAGATCTGAAAAGCAGAGATTTCAAGCTTGAAAATACTTTTTTAAGTATCTTATTCTGGTCATTTTCGTAGAAGTTACACTACTTATCCATTTTTAATTAAAAACGTGTGACACTTGATGCTATAATTTCCGCGTGTATTAGAAATCGTTACATTTAGTCTTTAATAATTATAGAACAATACAATATTGACGCAATACTGGATCAGTAATAAATCTTAATCATATACCAATTTGTATTCGTTACTGTAGTAATCGTTACTGCCAAATCTGTACTGATTATTAAAAGAATGTTTATTATTGGAATATGTAACGATTAATATAAAGAAAGATCTAAGTTGAGAGTAAGCAAAAATACAATACTCTTATTTTTCATTTCTCACAAGAAGATGGTAAGAATTGTAAAGTACCAAATGGGATAAGTCATAGCTCATTAGAAAAAGGAAATTGCGTGTACTAACTGTAAACAAGTTTGAGTGGATGGGTTTTTGATTCTGAAAATACTGCAATTAACGGTAGGAATAGAATCAGCTGTGGAATAGCTGAGCGAATTGTGGTGCACAATTATCTTTTCTGGTGAACGAAAGTTCGAATTCCCGTAGTGTTAATTTTTTTTTTAAAGTAACAATCATATTTTACAATGTAATTTATTTTTCTTTTTTTTTTAAGTAAAAATAATTGTAGTTTTTGTTATATATAACAATAAATAACAAGATTTCTTGAAGTTTTAATTATTTATTATAAAATTTAGACATTGTCATACAATGTTGTCTATAAAAAGCAAAACAAAAACTTTTAAAGCACAAAAGGACGCGCATCATGAACATTTTATAAATGAATTATATTTTATAGAAACATTGCATGCAGCAAATATTCGGAGGAAAAATGCCCAGCCCAATCAAATGCAAGCGTGCGACAGAATAATACCTGCCCCGCGCGACGAGGCGCGCATCCGTCGTCGCTAGGCACGTTGTTTATAAGCGACAATTGCCGTCGCTAGACATTACGTCTAGTGATGGCAAACCCGCACCGCGCTAAGCAGTCCTATCCTGTCGCGCGCTTGCATTTGGCGATAGACTGGGCGAATTTGACTATTTTTATAATTTTATAAGTTAATAACTCGTTAACCATTGGATAAGTGTAAAATGATAGACTTTTCTTCTCAGTTTATTCCATTCTACTTCTGTGTGAAAGACTTATCATTAATTTTAAAATACCCTGTATAACATAAAATGTAGTTATTAGTATTTTTACTTAAAAGAAAAAAAGAAAAATAAATTACATTATAAAATATGATTGTTACTTTAAAAAAAAATTAATACAGCGGAGATTCGAGCTTTCGTTGATCGGATAAGAAAAAATATAATCGAGCACCATATCCGCTTAGCTATGCCGTTTTCTTGTTGCGATGCCATAGTCCTAATACTTATCATACAGATGATAGGACGCTCAACTTTAATTGCAAATTTCTCAGATTCAAAAGCTCATCCATCCAAGCCCTTTTTTACATTATTAGTACAACCTTCTCTATCGAGTTATGGCTCATCTCATTTGGCATTTCCATAGATACAGTATCTATAGATCAAGTATTTAAAGAATGGGGTAATCCTCATGTAGAAAAGGACATATTCACTTGGTTTAGAGAGAATCAAGAGAGAGTGGAGCGAAGAATGTTTTCTTCCCTGATTGGTTCCGCCATTTATTGTGCACTTCCGCAAATGTATATGTGTATATACATATATGTACACGTAATATTAGTGCGATACAATATTATATAGTGTGTGCAGCACCGTATGTTCCATTACGCTCCTATCATATCCTCTACACACTCCAACGATAAACTGAAAATGGTAGATTCCGGTTGAATCCATTCTATTCTTTCTTGTTTCTCTCTGACTTGGTCCAGGATTGTGTTTTTTCTTGTTTCGTGCATGCATGTAAAATATATCTAAAAGAAGGGATTGAAAGCACGAAGAAGCTCGGCAGGCTAACAAAAATTTGAAATGATACAACACTTAACCCAAGACGAAACATATCCGTTCCCGGTTTGCGCTCGTCGTGAGACTCTCAGAACATATACGAGATTCTCTTCGCCTATCTGACTGTAAGCTGTTACATTTCAATTCCTTTTTTTCTCTTTCGATCCCCTTTCTCAGTGATACACTTTATATATATGCACGAAACGAGAGAGAACGCACTTAAACCAAGTCAGAGAATCAAGGGAGAGTGGAGCAAACTCATCCGGAAGTTATCATTTATAGTGCATCGTTGAAGTGAGTAGGAGATATAGTAGGAGTATGATGGAATATACGCTGCACTAATATTGTACATTAGTATTGTGTGTATGACATATGTATATATACACACACACATACATTTGCGGAAGTTGCACTACAAATAGCAAAACCAATCAAAGAAGAGAACATTCCGCTCCACTTTCCCTCGATTTTCTTTGGACCAAGGGAATGTGTCCTTTACTAAATAAGGACTACTCACATTCCTCAAATTTCTGACAATGCTTGGTCTAGAAATACTACGTCTATGAACATTTCACAATTCTTACCTTTTCCTTAGAGTTGTTCACGTGGCATGCTCCAATATGCTCTTATTTCTCCAATCGTAGCTCCTACTCAAACGCGCTCATTAGAGTGAGTAGGAGCTACGTTGAAGCATATTGGAGTATGCGACGCAAACAAACCTCTTGTCAATGTCCGGATTATAAAATAGCATATTATGATTGAAGGATGTTCGAGAAGCAATTGCCTAAAAGGCAATTCGTATATAGCGATTATTTTGAGTGCTATACGTACATGTCTTCGGCACGAACGAGAGAGACGAGTGTAAGGGCAAGTGTAAGGATACAAAGGGATGTGAAGATTAAGGAACTCACAAAGGAAGTGAGAGATAGCGAGAGGATAGATGAGAGGCGGCCGCCACTCGCACACCGCCCTAGCGCCACCCAACCCATTCTATGTCATCTGAAACAGATAAGTAATATCTTGATGTTAAAATACTTTAATTATTACAATAAATTTGAATTTGTTTTCTTCTTTTCGCAAAAATAAAATTGTTCAAAAACTTATTGTTCGTAATTAAAAAATAAGCGCAGTTTGTTATAATTTTTTATTGACAGAAATATTATTTTACATTTTAATTTAAAAAAATTTTTCTCAGAGTAAACTGGCCTTTTAGATACGTTATTATGTCTTATTAAAATTGCATGATAACTTTAATATAACTTTGTAGTATTATTAACACTTTAGCTATCATGTGTATTTAATGGAATGTGCACATATAGAAAAAAAGCAATATTTTTGTATCAATTTTAGTATTAATTTAATATATCTGGAAACATGTCTCGGCGCATTAGGTAATCTTATTTGTTACTGTTATCTGCACATCATGGAGTATAAAGAATAGGAGGCCGAACTAGGCTTTGAAAAGTGTGGTCAAAATCAAGTTTCTGAATTGATATTGGTAGTGCTCGATAGGTGGCGTTCGAATCGTAAAACTCCTCTCATATAGGAATGTATGCTTACGCACACAACCAAACACACATACTTACAAATATAGACATTATTCTTTGACATCATGCTCTGATAGTAACAGGAAGACATAAATTGTCATTAAAAATACATGAATGGAGCATTCTTCATGTAAAATTGATATGACCTACCATGCAAACTGCGGTGTCGCGGAACGAAAGTGACATCGCGATTGAACTAATTCAGATGATTACTTTTAATCACGTTTTTTGACGGCCTCGTCTATGTAAGTTTGATCTCCTATTCTCTATACTCCATGCTGCACATACAGTCAATCAGAAAGGTTATAACACTTTTTTTTTCGATGTATACAAAAATGATAGTGTAACTGAAAGAATCGATTATAAAAATTCGTATTGTTAAGAATGATCACTTTTGCTTCAATATTGAATAACTCGGTGAAAAACAATTATACAATGTTCAATAAAAAAGCAAATTGAAGAATAAAAAATTACTCTTTCTATTGTAAATCTTTTCTGTATGGATTTTACTTCACATATAGACCTTTGTAAAATTTGTACAAAATTTTCAGATTTGATGGATATTTATTTGTTTTCGTATAGCTCTATAAAAAATCAATCAGATTAAAATACTAATTACCGATTTTGAAAGATTTCAACTTTTAAAATGCTGTTTAAAAAATATTATGACTATTGTATATATTTTCGAAAAAGTTGAAGTTAATTTCTTGAAGTTAAAAGATCATTTAGAATTAACGTTAAGAAGGCCAAATTCAAAGTTATGTACTTCTGGGAAAAATGATTACGAAGCGATGTTTGAAATGTTTTAAAATTTAAAGTCATAACTTTTGAATACTTCAAAAATGTTTCTATATCAAAATTTTGTTACAAATGTTGCTAACTTGAAGTGAATCTTGTAAAATTAAACTCAAACGTTGATGACGCGCATGCAATAAAATATCTCAGTTCTGTGCCCCGTGAAAAAAAGAATATTATTTTTCCTACCGGCAACTCCCACGTGAAACACATTGGATAATGCTAATGTTGACGATAAACGTTGTTTTTTTCAGAAAATGATATCACTTCGAAAATCCCGCTCAAAGAGACATAATAATATAAAGGATATGTTTTACATAAAAATGTTTTTGACATTGTATTAAATTTTTCAAGAAGAATCTTTTTCATTTTATAAAATGTCAAAAGTATGTCATTTTAGAAAGCAAAATAGTTTCTTTTTCAGGACACAGAACTGAGAAGATTTTTGTATCCGTTATCAAAGACGAAGTTTATTTTTTAATTTTGATCTACTTCAAATTAATACCATTTGTAATAAAATTTTCACATAGAAATACGATTTGAAGATTATAACTTTAAGCTTTAAAACACTTTTTCAAACATCGTTTCGTAATCATTTTTTGCAGAAAAGTAGTAAAGCAAAGTGGGTTCTATTCATTATGTGTTAGTGCGCATACATGATGTGTGTGTGTGTGCGCGTGTGTGTGTGCGTGTGTGTGTGTGTGTGCGTATGTGTATGAGAGTTAGGAAAAGGGAAATGCATCATAGACGCTGGGTCCGAGGGAGGGAGAAGTGCGTCAGATGTCCATGTAGCATGGGAAAGGTTCGTTTTTCTCTTTCAGCCGTTGTCATTTTCTCTTCAACCTATTGTCCTCTCTCTCCTACCCATTATAAAATGCAGTACTCTTTCTTCTCTTCCGCTGCAGTCTTATACTTATTATTTGCGTTCTCTGTTCCATTGCGTTCTCGCTACATTGTCTTTTCTTCACGTGATTTAATAAAATTGATAGTTACGATTTTTAATGATACGACTTAAAAACTGATTATAATAATATTTTTATGAATTTTTAATAATATAACCGAGTAACACTAATTATGATAATAATTTTTAGTAATGTAGTAAAAATGATTAAAAAATGATTCAAAAAATGATCAAGCGCACTTTCTTACCAACTAATTCAATATTCATTGAATTGTACTACTGAACAGCTATTATTAACTAATTCTTAACTACAGGGAAAAGGGGAAAGAAATCAAAATATATTTTAAAAATTTGCTTTATTTTAAATTTGATACGTTTCTTTTTGGCATTGCACCCTATCAATTGTATATTTTAGTATATTTTAAATACATTTTGTAACGCACAATTCTTAATATGTTTTACACATCGCATAATATTAGTAACATTTAGATTATGTAAAAAATCTATATCTTCGTAATCAGCATCCAAGATTTCAATGATCAAGTTGAGTATATCAGTCAACCATTCGCGTTTTTCACGTCTTTTTACGTATACGAGAACTTAAGTATGTATTAAGTGTAGTAAAAAGAAATCCATTATTTTTCCATTCAATTTCATACAAAAATAATGGATTTCTTTTTATTACACCTAATATGTATGTATATACGTATGTTTGTATACATACGTGTATACATATGCATGTATAATATGCGTAACGTGTATAATATGTATAATCTATATAATACGTTCATATTTAATATTTACATAAGAAAAAAAATTATATAGTTTGTAATAAATTTGTAATAAATTTTATTGTTATAAACATACTATCCTTGTATATATCCAAGAGTTGTATGAATTATCAAATCCCAGCGATTTCATAAATCTTGTCTCCTTTTTTATAGCAATACCTTTTCAACAAGATGTACTTTGGAATTAGTGACGCGATGCAACTCATACTTGTAAAATCCTCCAATGGGTTTTCTGCGAAAATCTTCCAGAAGGTACGTCATGGGATCAGTTTTCTGTACTTCGACGATTTTAAACATCTGTGGTCCAATTCGATATGTAATCTTTCTCAAAGATCGTCTTGAATTTGCTCATACGTATCGAGTCACCCACTTTGAATCGCGATGTTGCGACAGTTTTTACGCTAATGTAAATCATATTTAAGAGCTTGTTGGTGATAATGGAAATCATCATCGATGAGTCGCATACCGATAATTCGATAATGTTTTCATGCGTACTTTGGCACAAGAACGTGATAACAAGTCAATTATAATTTCCATTATGCGTAAATTGTTTCCATATATCGTTTTTTAACGTGCGATACCATCATTAAGGAATGCGTAGAATAATGGTTGACGTTGTGCTTCTTCAAGAGTTTCTGTACATCCGAATTGTAAAATTTCCCATATCGGTTTGCAAATTCTTCGGACATCTTCCATCAACTTGAATTATTTTTGTAATCGCTGTAGCCATCTCATTTCCACTCTTTGTTTTGAGCGGTATCCCATGCATGCATCCCATACTCAGCACATCGATAACAGTGAGAATATAGTAATACTCCTTGTTGAATGGTGTGCATTTCGAACACATCAGCCTGCCATAAGTCATCGTACTCGTAAATTATGATATATTTACGTGGAAATTTTTTTCTCGTTAGAGCGTGCAGTTCTGCCATTAATCGCCACTTTTCGAGACTTTTCTTCTTAGACATATTACGTTATGTTATGATTATTGCTGTATAATGCGTAAAATATCAAAGTTCTTACACAAACGTCATCGGCATTTCGATGACAACTAAAATGAATGAGTATCTCAATTCAATTTGTAATAAAGCCAGCTTCATGCGAAGCTCCTCGAAAATAAACAATATTTCGTTATTGGGCGTTGTGTCCGCCACGAGCCCTCAAGCAATCGGAGATTCCCCTAGCTCGTTAGGATCGTCTCAATGAACATAATCGATTTTATTGTCATTCATGATGCGTGATATTACACATTTTCCGACTCTTTTATCTGACTTATTATTTAGATTCCCGCGTTCGAACTTGTATTTTACCAGATACCAAGGGTGTTATTATATTCTTACCTTTGTATTTTATTTGTATTTATTTTTGTGATCTACGATCACAAAATTCATATCTTCATCGAAATATTTGTCACCGAGCATCGTTCCGTTCTCGCTGAAGTACAATATATGCCATAAACGTGATCGATCGCCTTTTCCCTGTCATCACCGAGAAGCATGTTTATGTATTTTTATCCAAGTGCCCCCAATTGATTATGTAACTCCTCACGTACTTGCCGCATTTTCAAAAATTCAATAACATTTCAAGGGATTCATTGGGCGTTTCATAAACATTTTCTGAGAGAACATGCGAATGTTCGTCCGATAATTCGCGTAGTTCAGACATAATTGGAATCCGACGTAATGTTCGATTCTTTTTTGCTTTTTAAACGACAGTGTTAATTGAATTATCCCATCCAGAAGCCATCACCATTATCTTCATTATTATTAGATTTTCTTTTCTTAATATTTTTATCTTTTACAACGTTGACTTCTTTCTTAATTGGTTGAGATTCATCATTAGCAGTGTTCTCGACAATCTGTTTTAGAGGTTCGACAATAGTTTTAAAGTTTCTTCAATGCTATACCTTCCTCTATTTTGCCGGTTTTTAAAGCGCGATATTTTTTACAAATCAAGTCACTGGTT